CTTGCAGCACCAAGGGACTATAAAAGATTAAGCTGGACTCTGGATGGTATAAGACAACTACAGCACCCCTAGAGTGGAAAATCAATTTCTCAGTTTATGGACTTCAGGAATAACATTAAGTTGCTCAGGAAACAGTCAAGATTGAATCTGACCTGTGCAGGATAACAAGTAAGGATGTGCTCAATGTCACAGGAAGGAAAAGGGTTCACTACATCTACAATATGAATTAGAGACCTTATCTTTCAAATTCTCATGTAACTCTGAGTAAAAATAACCCTCTAGGTTGCCTAAGTGGAGCAGAGGCTATCTTATCAAGGGGTTAATTTAACACCGCTTCAATTCGATGATGGGACAACGTGCTTGGTGACAGAGTAGGAACGTGCGCCTGTCGCTCTGCCTAAAGTGAAGTCCTCAGGTGTATAAGCAGCCCCATGAGTCAGAGCTGCAGGGCAGGGTGAGAGGCTGTGAAGTGCGTGGACGCGTGCACCTCCTTGTTCTCCATCCGAGAGGGAGGTTTAGGGTGAAGGGAAGGTCAAGCAGCCCCTTCTTCATGCTGTCTGCAACTGAGACACATGCCAAAATAACTTCAAAGACAGACGCCCAGCATACACTAGCTGAGGACAGGGGGACACATCTCATAGGCAGAAGAAAACACCACAGTAAGATCAACACAGGGAGCCGCTCAGTGGATTTGAACTCACTCTGAAATTCACACAGGAAGGAGCACCAGGCTCAGGCTATAAGAAGAGGGTAGGTGAAAAACATTCATGTGGGAATGTGTTCCTAAATGATTTTTTAAATACACTTAAGCCCTAAAGATATTATATAGGAGTTACCGAGGCTCATTTAAAGTCTTAAAAGTGCTCATTTTCTAACGCTTGATTGAAATTCTTATTTTGTTTGCGTAATGAGGTCACTTATTCCTGTTAAATTTCTAAATTAATTAGTTGAGCTAACCAGAATAAGCCCCCAATGCCTGTCCCAATGCAAGTTTTCTGTTTGTTGGCTTGAATGTATTTTTCACATGTAGCCTTATACAGCATCTCAGGCTCACATTTGCAGGCGAATATATTACTGGTCTGTATGGTGTGGGAAAAATCACTGGGTTGTAAGTGAAGTTCATAAATACCATCACTTACTAATAAAACTCTGACTCCATAATCTACTTTCTCTGGCACTCACTAAGCTGTCTAGCATAAGAGCAGAGTCTGTTAAAACTCAAGTACAGAGTAGTAAGATCAAGTCATAGATAGATAGATAGATAGATTTGCATTACTTGTCACAACACATTCTTGCTTCATGGACTGAAACTTCCATCTGAATCATGCCATATGCAGAGCGCTAAACCCCATATGCTGGAAATGGAAAGGAAGCTCCAGCAGGCAATCTATTGCACTAGTTAATCTCACTCTACTGTCTACGTACAGAAGGCATCTTCTCTCAGTTGCTATAGTAACAGTGACCACCATGGACACACAAACCAGGATTATACTGTGATATTCATCCACTTTGCTTGAAATGTGAGTTGTCTTTGATAGATGCTGTGTAACAGGGATGAGTTGTAGTTAAAGCCCATCTAACATGGTCCTTTGAAGATGCTTTTATCCTCTGCTTCATGCTAGTATATTAAAGTGGATCCAGTCTTCATACACGAACAGGACAGATATCAAAGGTGCAGCATTAACACTGGCTGAGTGTGTGAGTCCATTTTCTCGGAAGGACAAATATACATCATTCAAGCTGCTCCGCTTTTAAGCTCTAAACGTTAAACACCCACTTAGCTTCTATTCATGCCTTCATAGCGAATGAGTCCGAGGACGGGATTCAGTACAAGTGTTTGTTGGCACAAACACCGTGAAATACAGTTTTGGGCACATTGTCATAGTTCCACAAACTGGCGTTTTGTGTAATGATGCCATCATAATGGTTTAAATTGTATGACGTATTACTTTTATTATGGCAAATTAATTCACTAGACAATGCTGATATCAGTGCTAGAATTGAGCAAGATTTGTATTCTCTCTCTTCTTTTTGCAAAACAAAAACCATGACTATCAAAGTTCCCATCTAACTTGCGCTGGGATTACTCTGGAAAAACTAGGAAAAAGAACAGCTTGGATTTCTGGACAGTTTTATGTTGGGGGATGGAGGAGGAAACAGTGGCGTGTTTGTTGCTTGTTAATGGAAGTTTTATAGTAAGATGATAACATGACATATGATGTGGAAAATTCAGAACAACAAAGAGAGCACAAATCAGGAGGGGCAGAAGGGCAAATATTCTGGGAAATAATTGTCATGAAGAGTCCTGAAACCTTGAACTGTGATTCTGTCCTGAATGCTTTTACTGTGTAAATACATATGTTCGTATTTAGAAAATAACATGATGAAAGCTAAATAAATAAATACAGAAGAGGAAAAAAAACAGAAAAGAAGAGAAAAAAGAATATCTACCCAAGAAAATGATATGACCGTAAGTGAAAATACAGATAAATACATAGATAGAGCTATCGTTCCCACCAGAAACTTAGCGTTCTCCTGCAAAAGCATTGTGTTTCCCCAAGAAACTTTGTGTTCACTTGTAAAACATTTTTGTTCTTTCGCAAAAAATTGCGTTCCCCCTAGAAAAACTTTGCATTTGTTCACAAAAGCACTGAAATATAATTTTCCATCATGAATGTTTTGTGAGGAAATGCAAAGTTTCTCAGAGAAATGCATACTTTTGTAAGTCAATACAAACTAACACAAAATATTTTGGGGGAATTTAAAAGCATTGAATTATGTGTTCTCCTGTCTCATTTTTTTAACCATCACCATGTCTCTTTAGGGGCTCCATAAATTTGTTCATTTCACCTGAGCAAGCATTTTTTATTAAATGTTTTTTCTTAGTGTGAAGAAAATTGTAATAATTAGAAGAACCATTTTCCACTATGAAGAACCTTTTGTGCAATGGAAAGTTTCCATGGATGTTAAAGGTTCTTCGTGGAACCATCAACCAATCAAAACAACTAACCTTTATTTTTGGGAATGTAGAACCTTTCCATTGTACAAAAGTTCTTTAGATTATTAAAGGGGTCATATGACGTTGCTAAAAAAAAACATTATTTTGTGTACAGTATTTGGTGTAATGCAATGTGTTTATGTGGTTTAAGGTTCAAAAAACATTATTTTCCACATACTGTACATTATTGTTTCTCCTCTATGCCCCGCCTTTCTGAAACACGCTGATTTTTACAAAGCTCATCACTCTGAAAAGTGAGGTGTGCTCTGATTGGCTGGCTATCTAGTGCGTTGTGATTGGCCGACCAGGTTCAAGAAACTTTCCTCCGTAAAATGCACTGCACACACTCGAATATTTGGGTTGAACTGTTCTGGAACAGTGTTGTAAATACAACTTAACCACTGATTTGTAGTCGTGTCCTCTTTTGGAAGGCCAAACAAAGTAGTTTGGCTTTCGCAACGAAACACACAGCGTCTCCACAATATGGCGGCGGCAACAATACTACAGGGAGAATAAAAGTTACGCCTAATTTCTTTGCGTATACATTTGGGCGGTGTTATGCAAATCTTCCCACACAGTGACGTAGACATGTGGGGGCGTGTTTGAACAAGGTATTTTAGGTAGGCATGGCTGAGCGTTCACTTTTATAAAGAATATCTCTTTGGGTTTGAGACTTTAATCTTTGCGACTTTACGGATCTTCTGTATGCACAAACAGCTTTTAACACTCCAAAGACAAAGGAAAACATGAAATCGCATCATATGACCCCTTTAAAATATGCTTCACACTAGGAAAAATAGTGTTCTTGTTTAAACACTGGCATTCTTCTGTGGCATCACAAAACCCCCCTTTTGGTGCCTTTATTTTTTAGAGTGCAAGATGAACATGCTAAAACAGATACTGCATGTGATATTCAAATGAAAGTCCATTTTCACAATTGCTGTAATTTTGGGACTGCAGTGGATAATGATGTAAACTAGAGCAGAAAGCACTTGCCATAAAGCAGCAGATTTTAATACCCTAATTACTGTACTGCCATTTTCAGCACAAACACCATAATCAGGCCACAGCAGGACAGACATCCAAATGTGTGCTTAAAATCGAGAGGCTGAATGGCTGGAATAATGGGCATGCCATTATCTCAATATAAACACGAGGCGAGCAACCAAAACAAATGAGCTTTGAGTGCTTTCCTATTCATCTGTTCTTCACAGACTATCAGGATAAGCTCTCAGGAGCCCGATAAACTCGTGTATCCATTCTGCTTAAGATAGTAGTAGTGATTCAGCTTTCTAAAGAGAAAATGCCAGCCGAGAGACAGTTGCTACATGTCTGTCTTTACATACGCCCTCATTTATAGTAATATATTTGTATGGCGGCGAGTGAGTGTGTGCATATATACGTGCTTGTGCCGTCTCCCATCACAGTGGTGTGGACATGTAGATGCCTGTTTTCAAATGCTCCACAGGCCTGATGTTGTTGAGATAATCTGCTGAAAACTGATCCTCTCCACACTATCGCCTGCAGAGGAACGTGTGGGCACATCAGCCCCCAACATCAGGAGCCTTGTCTGTCGCTACAGCAACAGCAAAAAGCCTTCCATTACCGCTACAACATTCGCAAGAGTTTCTGCCAGACGGCGCTTCTGATAACAAGACGGCAAAATGTGTACAATGCACTCTCAATCAGATGTGTCCATCTGTGCAAAAGAATGTTTACACGGACGGTGTGAAACAACAAGACTTGTCATTCATTAGTGAAATACCAAAAACTGAGGGAAAAACAAACAAAAAAACATGTGATGTTTATACTGTATCTTGTAATCACTCTACCGTGATAGATTGTTCTTTGAGCTGTGTGAGATGGTGGTATTGAGGGAAGCCTGTCTCTTTAAGAGACAGTCCTTGAGCAGGTTGGCTTGTTGAGTGAGGAGGTGGAACCTTGTCTGCTTCTACAAACAAGCATTTCTATCAACAAAACGTGTCTCACTAGTGGGCTGATCTTGAGGGTGTGCATATATACGAGACTGAATAGTGAAGTCGTGCTCGATTTTCTTTTACATTACTTCCTAATGGTGTATGTGTGATATGTGAGTCCCACTTTATTAGTTTGCAACACTCTGCTGGAGGGGCCACCAACAGCTCAGGTGTGTCACGTCTATTTGTCAGTAAGTGTGTTTATCTTTTTTCATCGTTTTTCAAATTGTTCTGTAGCATTTAAAATAATGCCATTTCAAAGAGCTTGGTTGTGCAGCACCTTCTGAACTCTGTAACTTAAAAAAAAAAAAAAAGATTATCTTGTGCTGCAATTTAAGGAGGCATTTCTGTAAAAGGCTATACCAGATTTTCAGAAATGCACTCTGGTCAAACTCAGGCTTTTAAACTGGTGAATTATAATCGGACTATTTACACAACAGCAGGAAAGTGTTTGTGTTCACACATCATTTGAGATTGAAATGGTGTGGGAATACAGATTTACTGTTATTCTGATGTAGATTCTGGTTAAAGGAACCACGTGCCAATTAAGTTTCCATGGAAGCTTCCTGGTAAATAATGGACTTTTAAGTACATATGCTGAGATTTTTGTACGCTACTTTGAGATTTTTGTATGTAACTGTATTTTGTGCTCCAGTGTACATCCAAGTTCTGAAGTCTGTCACTAATTCTTTATTGCTTATAGTCTTTTTAGAGAAGTGTCTCGTACAGTATACACTCTTAAAAATAAAGGTGCTTCACGATGCCATAGAAATCTGAAAGCGTGTACATTCAAATTTTCTAAAATGTGCTTTATTAATATAGAGCATCTGATAAGTTTGCTTCAGAGTAAATATATGTTTTCCTAGGAGGAAAAGACTGGCAGAATTAATTGTTTTTACTCTAATTTCTGATTTGATGAGCCACAATATAAAATGCTGTTGAACTTACACTGTGAGTGCACTTTTTAGATAAAATAAGTTACTATGTTATTATTTCCATTAAAAACACTAAGGAAGACATTCTGAAGAATCTTTATGCTGCTTCTTCCCACTCAATGACCATTTATAGTGTCAAGCTCCAGAATGATACCATAAAACATCAGATCGTGCCCTTCACTACAGCTCTCAAGTCTCATTCTCCATGTATTCCCAAAAGTATCCCATTAAGTTGAACTGCTGTGTTGTGTCCGGTTACAAAACACACAAGAACAATTGGTTTTTGGGATCAGTGATGAGACTACTGTAACATGCTATTCTCAGCTTTCCCTACAAAGCTTTTCCCAAATTCATTCCTATTGCAAAAGCACTCCATTAATGAATCATTTCGAATCTGGCTGGTTTTGTAGTCTAAAATGTACGAGTTTTGTTAGAGTGGAAGTGAATAATGAATTGAACGTCAGTCAGTTCCTCACAAATCTGCCTTTTTGACTGTAATATTGTATACAATATTGCATACAGCTTTTATGATACTTTTTTAAAATCATGATTATTAATTTTTTGTAATGCTTGGAGCTTGACAAAGCTACTAACAGATTCTTCATAATTCCTTTTTCAGTATTCCATGGAAGGAGGAAAAGTCAAGAGTGTGAGTAAATAATGACAGAATTATCTTAACACATTTCTGTTACCGCTATTTTAAAAGTAGTTTTAAATTTTGCATCATGCCAAAGAACACCCTTTACCTTAATCACTGTAACGCACAGCCTCATGTGGCTTATTGCTTTAACATCAATTAGAAAGAGAAAACTACTTATCAGAGGAACACAGCCGTCACACCTCAGTTGTTGTCAGACACCTTTGTGTATTTAGTAGATGCTATTAGACGCTTTAATAACAGCTCCACCAGAAAAAAAAAGAAGAAAAAAACTGATTTAACAAACACTGAATATTATGCAAACAAATATTGTGTATAGGACTTTCTTCTTTCAGACGAATAAAATCGGAGTTATATTAAAAAGTGTCCTGCCTCTTCCGAGCTTTATAATGGCAGTGAATGGTGGTCAAGGTTTTGAAGCCCAAAATAAAGTGTATCCATCCATCATAAAAAGTACTCCACACGGCTCCGGGGGGTTAATAAAGGCTTCTCCAAAATGTTCTTTATATGAGAAGGTAATAATTCATATCTGAATCATATTGCTTTTTAGCTTCATGTTAAGAGTGAAAGGGCCTTCAGTTGTAGGACTGTAGGCTATTTTAACTATATCTGTTCTAATGAATCGCTGGATGATTCATTGAATTTTGATGTTTTGTGAAAGATGGACCATAAAAAAAATGAAGACAATTTCCTTGGATAATTGCCAATGTGTCAAAAGGCATAAAAGGCTTCTGACTGTATTTTTCACATCTGATGTGACATATTAATTAAACACGGCTGGAAATAGCACCTTCGACAATCACACAGTGATCTGCTCGAGAAATAAAGTAATGTTCAAATATAGCTCACTTGCTTGCTTTCATTGCCAGGTGTCTGCGCATGAGACCAGCCAGAATGCAAAAGTGATCATTGACATGGCATCCCCACAAGGACTGTAGATGGAGGCTTCCTATTGTGAAATGCCAGAGAGCCTCCTATCATGGAAATGGACCTCTTCTCAGCTTTCCCGTTCAAAGCTTTTCCTTATATTAATTTCCATTAGTGGTTGCAAGAGTGCTCCATGAATCTATGGGAAGCAACAAAAAAAGATGCATCTTGCAATTCTGTCATCTAGATGTGTGATTTTTGACTTCACTGAGGTCATTTACAAAGCAGATATTACAAAATATCTCAATGATCCATTGCTTATGATTCTGATTTTTTTTAAATCCTCCTTTTAGTGCAATATATTGCTGTTTGTGCGTGTAAACGATCTGAAAAGTTATGTCCATGGCAAAGGAATTTCATCTCTCTAGTAGAAAACACTTGCCTTGACTTCTTTCTGGTTGGGGCTAGAAGGGATACAGCTACGGACAGATTGTCCTACTGGGCATGCACACATCAATATTGTGATTACTGTATTTGCATTATTGTAAGGTTAAGTTTAGGGTCGGGGTAGGTGTAGACATAAATAAAACACAATCTAATTGGTAGCAAATGTAACTTATTGTTATCTCATGGCAATTCGTACATATTTTACCAGGTGGCTAATTCGTATGACCTCTACGAATTTGCATTTAGTCATTTTTTTTTTACATTTAGTCATTTTGCAGACGCTTTTATCCAAAGCGACTTACAATTGGGGAATACATAAAGCGATTCTTCTTAAAGAGGCAAACAGACACAGGAAGTGCTTGAAATACCAAGTTTTAGGCATTGTTCAAATAAGTACAAGCTAGAAAAGGGAAGGAATAAATAAAGAGAAAGACTTTTTTTTTTTTTTTTAAGATGAACTCAAGTAGCGTTTAAAGAGATGAGTTTTCAGCTGTCGCTTGAAAATGGTCAGGGATTCAGCATTCCGGATAGGGGTGGGAAGATCATTCCACCAGCCAGGAACAGTGAACGAGAATGTTCTGGAAAGTGATTTTGAGCCTCCCTGTGATGGTACCACGAAGCGTCGCTCACTAGCGGATCTCAGACTTCTGGAGGGGATGTAGATTCGTAGTAGTGAGTGAATTTGCCACCTCGTAAAATAAAAAACGTATTTTATGAGGTGGCAAATTCGTAGGAATTCATACAAAGGACCACCCCTGATCCCGCCCCTAAACGTACCCCTCACAGAAATCATACAAAGGCCCTGTCCGAAATCACACCCTAAACCCTTGCGGTGTTCCTCTGAGTCCACGCTTTCGTGACGTAATGCCACTTTGACTGTCAGGTAGAAATCTACTGTGGAGCTTGCCTCAGTGTGGGCTTGGCAGAAGTACACATCGAGGGTGCATAGCGGCCGCAAATGGGGCGCTTCCGAGCACCCTTCTGAAAGCTAAAATGACGAATGGGATACCCTACTGTCTCGAGGATTTAAAGGACATGCGGACGGCCATTTGAAGCCCGTAAGACCGCAAGTGCACAAGACGTGCCATTTGGGACAGGGCCAAAATTGTACGAGTGAGGTCATACGGATTCGTAAGAATTAGCCACCTCGTAAAATACGTACGAATTGGTCGTGAGATAGCGTTGTTATTTCCGTGCCTTAGCTACACCATCATGTTACACATTTGCATAATGCCTGTCTATTGGCTGCTTTAGTCCACCTTCTAAGGACAGTTGGGTGAATGATTTTGTCATGACATGACAAGTAGACGTAAGTTTATATGACATATAATACTGTTTTCAGCTGCACATGAAGCTTCAGGAGCTGAAACCTGATTATGGTAAGAGTTGCAACATTTCCGACACACAAAGTGGCTGACCAATCACAACAGACTAGGCCAACAGACCAATCAGAGCAGACCAGGCATTTCAGAAAGACAGGCTTTGGATGAAACGGTTACCGGTTTGACGGTAAACCTCGATAAAAAGTCCCGACAGTTAGTATTACTGTTTCATATTTCGCTGTCTCATGAAGCGTAGGTTTTGTTTTGTGTGCAAACATGATGGAAGGCACTGTGCAGAGAGAAAACATGAAATAAAGTATGTATGAATGAATGAATAAGATTAATGCATAAGGGGGAACCGACTGTCTTCAAAAAAGTTTCCATGGCATTTGCTTTTCATTTTCTCTCCATGTATCGCCTAATAATCAGTGGTGGACGAAGTACACAAATCAAGTACTTGAGTAAAAGTATAGATACGTATAATAAAATATTACTCCAGTAAAAGTAAAAGTACTCAGTTTTCAATTTTACTCGAGTGAAAGTACAAAAGTACTTGATTTTTTATGTACTTAAGTAAAAAGTACTGATAGATGAATATTTATTTTGCAGTTTTATATAGGCTACTTTTATCATTTAATTTTATATTAGCATATATTTTTTTATAATCCTATTGCTCAAAATACCTGGGATTTTCCCAAAATAACCAATAAGGAAATAATGAATATAATAAGGAAAATATCATTATATTTTCATAATGATTTTTTTCTTCTCAAACCTTGTCTGTGGTATAAAAACACCCCTGGCCAAATGCCCCCCGAGGGCATCACTTCCCACTTTGATAATTACTGTAGTTACCATGTTCTGAACATCACATCCTTTCTTTTTCTCTCAGATGTAATCAACTAGGTGGTTGAATTATAATATTTGGACTTTATTTAAAAAAAATTACCTCAATTTAGCACCAGCAAGCTCGTTAGCTAGACAGTTAGCATCAGCTAACATTGACTTATTTTTAGCATGGTTATGAATAAACATTTATATTTGTCTACTCGGCTAGTTGATCCAGATACATAGTAACTTAGGCTATGTGTGCTGACAAACAATATAAAAACAGACGTCACATAGGGCTAAATGCATATAGTATTTTAGTAAAACTGCTAACGTTACAGCAGCGGGGAAATGAATGTGCATGAGTTATTTTATTTAATCTGTGTTACTTCAATGTTTTTTTTACCTAAAATATTGAGACTCTGATGTTAACGTGTCTGCATTCAAGCATTTCAGTGGGCTTAAACAATTCACCCTTTACAGCAGATTTAGTTCACAAACAACTGACAGCTTTGACCTAAATATGATT